AGGTTTAGGAGAAGACAGCTGGATAATCATTACTGAAAACAAGAAGGTGATTTATTTTCTTTCATCTAATGTAGCATGCATTTCCTTATGCTTCTGTGGAAAAGCTCTAATTTCCAGCAGGCTTAGAAGGTATAATTTCCACCCGGTTTAGTGAACCAGTTATCCATCTACCAAGAAAAAATATAGTTCAAACCCTAGTCCATACCCTACAAATCCTAACCATAAAAGTTTAATAACTGATATACAGTGCTGCCTTACTTGAGCAGATGGTCAACTGCTGCCATCCATTCAAGTAACAGCTACTATAAGGTTCAACTGAAGCGAACAGAGATATGCAGAATAATTTGGTAAAGGGTTTTGAAACACCTAGAAACATGATCTGCAATTTGTTAAAGCAGCTGAATCTTTTCCTGGGATTCTACTGGTGCCTTTGCATTTGATCTTGCAAAAAGATGTGGTTGCTTTAAGGGATTGCAGTGAGGTGCTGTACTGTAGTTGTACCTTTGGGTATTTTGAAATCATATCTGAAACACTGCAAAGCCCTATTATAGAATGCCCACTAGACTTAGTTTCTAAGCATCCGGAAGGATTGTCTTCTCCCAATGGTTTCTACCAATCTAATTTAGTAAGAACAGAGCTGGAAGGGACCTTAGAGGTCTTCGTCCAACCCCCTGTTCCAGCAGGAGACCCTATACCATTTCAGACAGGTGGCTGTCCAGTCTTTTCTTTAAAAACTCCAGTGATGAAGCACCCACAATTTCTGAAGGCAAGTTGTTCCACTGATTAATTAATTAATTAATGAGACTTATATACCACTTTAAGTGCAAGCACTCTCTAAGCGGTGTACACCAGTAAGCAATGTATATATATATATATTACATTGCCCCCAACAATCTGGGTCCTCATTTTACCTACCCCGGAAGGATTGTCCTCACTGTTAGCAAGTTCCTCCTTAATTCCAGGTTGCTTCCCTCCTTGATTACCATAGTTTCCATCCACTGTTTCTTGTCTTGCCTTCTGGTGCTTTGGAAAATGAGTTGACCCCCTCTTCTTTGTGGCAGCCCCTCAAATACTGGAATACCTCTAGTCCTTCTTTTCTCTAGAGTGTAGACCAGGGGTGTCAAACTCAATTTCATTGAGGGCCGCATCAGCATTGTGGTTGCTCTCGGGGGGGTGGGGGGCGGCCTACTGGGTGGGCTTGGATGGAGTGGGTGTGGCCTACTGGGTGGGCATGGCCAGCTCTACGTCATTCGCGTCAAGGGTGCCTGCGGGGGCCTGGGCAGGAGTGGGACAGATCTGAGGGTCTCTGGTAGAAGGGAGTGGGATCGGGGCAAGCGCCAAGGCATGGTCCATTTCTTCATTCCTCACAAATGGTGACACCTCCCCAGCATGCACCCAGGGGGCGGGGCCGACACAGCAGGGGCTAGTTCCTTGCTGTTTCTAGACGGCCTTGTGGAACTAAGACTGAATGTGTTTCAGCATAGATGGCCACCACAAAATTGTACATTGGCTCCCGGCCGGCCTGGGCCAGGGCCAAGGCAGCGGGGACTGTTCCCTCACTGTTTCCAGGATGGCTTCGCGGGCCACATGAAATCACTTCGTGGGCCGCATCTGGCCCCCGGGCCTTGTGTTTGACATGTCTGGTCTAGACTATCCATACCAAATTCCTGCAACTGTTCTTTAAATGTTTAGTCTCCAGCCCTTTAATCATCTTAGTTGCTCTTCTCTGAACTTTTTCCAATTTAGTACAGCAGGTTGGACATGTTATGGGTCCCATAAGCCAGGGAATGTTGGCAGGCAGGGACCAGAAGATGTGCCTTCTCTGTCCTCTGGAATATTCTTGCCTCAGAATCCAGGTTGACCCTAACGCTGTTGGCTTCTTGTAAGGCCTTGAAGACTTGGCTTTTTGCCTAGGCCTAGACCTGCCTGTGTGAAGGGCCCCACCTCATGGCTATATTGACAACTGTGATGACATTTTTTTCATGGCTGCCTTATATATTTAATTTCGTACTATGTTGTAACTATTTTTAATTACTTCATAATTGTTCTCCACCCAGAGTCACTTCTTTGAGATCGGTGGCTGTAGAAATTGAATAAATTGAATAAATAAATCTATAATTTCTCTGCATTTCCCTTCCAGACACAGAAGAGAGAATCCAGAATCCAACACTGGATCCCTGTTTTCTGACCTCTGAGGGCATCTCAATTGGACTCCTTTAAAATCGGGATGTTCCAAAGGTACCCAAATGGAGCAAGCAGGGGCTTAGGTAAGAATTCAAGGAGGATCCTAAAGCTTTTTATTCTTTGCCAAATCATATTATGAGAAGACGTTTATGCCTAGTTTAAATTTTCTCCCACTTGAATTGACAGAAGGTATTTGTTGTTGTCACAGTAAAATTAGTATGGACAGAAAACACTGTTCCTGAAGCCAGCTAGACTTTAGTATTCATCTGAATGCTCAAACTTGGGACATTCAAATGAATAAATAGGATTGTTTTGCCTACTGAACAGTTTTAAGGTTAATCTTTTACTAATATTTATTATTTTATTTCCAAACTGGGTCAAAACTGGGTTCTATCCCTTCTCATATAATATAAAGAAAAAAGTGAGAAATAAAGTACAAATTATAGGTTTGCATCACAGCAAATCTCAGAATTCAGTGGCAGTTCTTTCATGTATTGATTTGAAGAACTATTTCCCGATCCTTTATTTAAATTGGACTTTAGTAAACTCTCAGGCCACATCAGATTTAAAAATGGAGGTTGAAGAAATCCATATGATACAATATAATAATTTCCTGAAGACTTAGCAGTGATCAGATAAAACAAACCAGGTTGTGCCATCTAGTGATGAGGTACAGTCAAGATTTGGAAAAACAAATGTATGAAGAGCTCAAATAATGTAGGAGCTATGGCATACACATGCACTGCAGAATGTTTGCCAATTTTGTGACACAGTATTTTTGTAGTTTATGCAAAATCCACATGATCCAAACTTTATTAGAAAGTAAAAAATAGTTGTTGTTTTTTAAAAAAGCCGGTTTGATTTAGTGGTTAAGGCACAGGGTAGAAACCGGAAGATTGGGAATTTTAGTCCTGCCTTAAGCATGAAAGCTGGCTGGGTGACTTTGGGTCAGTCAAGAGATGATAGATAGATAGATAGATAGATAGATAGATAGATAGATAGATAGATAGATAGATAGATAGATAGATAGATAGATAGATAGAGAACTGTGTGACAAAGAAGATAGCAATGGAGCTTTACTAGATGGACCCTCTATCAAAGCCATTGACTCTGCTTGTCAGAAATTTGCAAAAAGTGATCACATGATCCTGGGACATTGCAGCTGTTATAAATACATGCCAGTTGCCAAGCATCTGAATTTTGACCATGTGTCCATGGGAATGCTGCAACAGCCAAAAGTGAGAAAAATGATCATTTGTCATCCCAAAGGTGCTTTTTCAAAAGGCAAGTGGACTTTTTTTGTTTCTGCTTGGAGATGTTTTGCCTTCTCATCCAAGAAGCTTCTTCAGTTCTTCAGCAGAACTGAAGCAAAACTGAAGCTTGGATGAGAAGCGAAATGTCTTCAAGCAGAAACAAAGTCCACTTGCCGTTTGAAAAAGCACCTTTGGGACAACCATGGATGGCCAAGAATCTCCATGGATAGATTATTTGTCACTTTTTTCTGTGCAGTTGTAACTTCAGTCACTAAATGAATGGTTGTAAGTCAAAGACTATGTATATGCCCCCTCAGCACCTATCATGAAATACTCCATCCAAAGGCAAGAACATCAACAGGTTAACAAATCTAGCAGGGTGCTAGCCTGCGTAGGCCTAGCTACATAGAATGGGAGAGGCAGGGAATTATTATAAACTTCTCTATGTCAATTATTTTAATCACTCGATTGTAAACAAGCAACAGTAGCAAATGCCGGTGTCTCTTAGTGATTATATCAAGCCTCTGACAAGTTAATCTGATCTTGTTTAATTGTACTTCTTCCACTCAAACATTGCACAATTTGCATGTGATATAGAGATGATAGATATACAGTAGATACAGTCATCCTGTTCAGTTTGGTCACAAGCAGGAGGAGGATCTGATACTTCTTACTGAATTGCTTATTATTATATCCTAAAGTTCTTGTAAACAATGAGGGAGCTATACTATAGGAAGAAGAATAAAACCAGTTAAAGCTGATTACATTTTGACCATACTCTGGGTACATCTCTGGCTCCTAGATTGTTTTGACCAATCAGCATCGTTTGTCTCTCCCAAGCGATATTCTGACGCACAGCCAGATTTTTATCCTGAGCCTTCTCCCCTTCCAGCTATCTTAACTCGATTTCAGCCATGTTATTTTATGATTTTTTTCCCCTTTTCTAATAGCTGAGCAGCACTTTTATCTTAGTCTGAAATGTTATAGGATTTCCTGCTTGAGCGGGGGGAGGGGCTGGACTAGAAGACCTCCGAGATCCCTTCCAACTTCGTTATTTTGCTAATCTGTTATTCCATTTATCTCTTCTGCACATCTTGTTCAATGCATAAAGCATATTCCCTGGGAAGGCAGATCACTGGAGAGAGAGAGAGGGGAAAAAAAAAAAGAAATCCCTGTTTTGGTACTTCAAAGAGTTATTTTGTGGGCCAAAGTTCACAATGCTGAGTCAAGCTTGAGCAATCTCAAACTGACCTCGTGTGGCTTCTGATGTGAGCAAACACACCAAGCGGGTAAAGGACACCCCAGAATGAAATGGCTACAAGAACAGGTGCCATTGTGGGAGTCCGCAGAAAAACACCTGAGTAGTTTTTGGCTACAGGATTTTCTTTGGCATCTGTAGGGCTCTTGAAGGGAAGAACCCCAGGTGTGAAAATGATCGATGCTGATAATTTTGTGAGAAGAGTTAATGGCTGACTGTTTGGGTTTAGTCTGAGAAAAGTGATGTTTATGTTGCCCTCAAGAACACCTGGATCGGAGTCGAGCTGGATATAAACTTTCCCCTTGAGCGGATCCTGTTCACCTGACTTATCCCAGAAATTTGCCAGAAATTTTTCTCTGCAATCAACTCCCAGAAAAATACAAGTAGGTGGGGGGTTAAAGGAAGGAAATAGACAGTATGTAGAAGCTTCAAGGCAATGGGAAGATTGCTGTATTTGTTGAACAAATCGCTCCATTTGATGGCTTGCAAGGAGGTGGAAATTTGCATTTGCAAGAAACGTGTTGCTATTGTTAGGTGGCTTGTGGAGCAAACCCTATAGATGCCGATGATGTAGAAAAACATACTGAGTTTGTGAATCTTTATTGTTTGTTTATTAAATTTTTATGCTGCTCGTCTCCCCTCTGTCTCTGGAACTTAATAATTAAAATATGAATGATTAAAAGGCAAATTAAAAATGTAAAACTATACAAAACACCAAGACTAAGTAAGAGACAGAGGTCACGGGGATGAGGCCTTCTTACCCTATAAACCAGGGATCCACAACCTTGGCCACTTTATGACTTGTGGATTTCAACTTCCAAAATTCCTCAGCCAGCCATGCTGGCTGAGGAATTCTGGGAGTTGAAGTCCACAAGTCATAAAGTGGCTAAGATTGGGGGTCCCTGCTATAAACCACCAGCAGTGGTAAGCATACCCCTTGAGACCCCAAGACAAGAGGCAAAGCCAAATTTTAATACCCCTCCTGAAGGCCCCAAAAGTGGGAGCATTTCTCATCTCCTGTGGTAGAGTGTTGCACAAGGAAGGGGCCACCGTGGAAAGGGCTTTTCTCCTTGAACCCGAAAAATGGGTATAGAATGGCAGCTGAACTGGGTGGGATTTAGAAAATGATGGAGAACCGAGAGCTACATTCAAAAATATATTTAGGGATGCTTCTTATCCTACACTGGGTATAAATGGATTGCAGTTCCTACGCAGTGATTTCCCAACCACCATTTTTGCAATATTTTAAGAGTTACCATTCTAGTCCAGTAATACTGTAGCCATTCTTGACCTTTTCATTATTTGCTGCTCAAATTTATTCATTTGTTGTTCCCTTAACTTTGCTCTTACTTTACATCTTTCATTATATCACTGACGTGGATGTTTACTAGGCTAATGCTTATGACCACAATCCAGCCCCAAATTTGATGCTAAGCAAGACAGTTGTTAAATAATTTTTGCCCCATTTTATGATCTTTCATGCCACAATTGTTAAGTGAATCACTGAAGTTGTTAGTAACACAATGTAAAGTGAATCTGTCTTCCTTATAGATGTTACTTGTCAGAAGGTCCTAAGAGTCATACTTTTTTCAGTGTAACTTTGAATAGTCACTAAACAAACTGTTGCAACTCAAGGACTATCCGTGTGTATGTATGCTCACACACACACACACACATACACACACACACACACACACAATCTTTATACCATTTCAGGAAATGGAGCAATAGCCTAATGTACATTAGCTTATCGCTCTATTTCCTGAAATGGTGTATAAATATGTTGATATACGGGAAAGATAAAAATACTGCCCAGGTAGCATTTTATCTATATCTTTATGATTTTACAATGCATTATTGTCAGGTAATCAGGCTCTGATTATGCAAGAAAAAAAGATTAACTTACTTACTGGTTGGAGTACCAATGTCAGAGATTTAGTTGTTATATTCCTCTTGGTGCTTAGCTGGCTTTTTAAAATAATTTTTATTATCAATATATACTAAATAAATAAAAATATATCAGTGACTGTACAGTAAAGTAACCATACTTCGCAATAACAGAAGAAAGTAGAAAGGGAGAAAAGAAAGAAAGAAGGAAAAATAGGAAAAATAATATGTAATAAAATCCTAAAATATATTATTAAATTTGCAATATGCAGAAAGAGATTAAGTTTTTGAAATGTGTTTCTAGACTATATATATTGGTCTTGTAAATACTGTACAGTATGTCATGATGATTTCATTGCTCTTATGTGCTTTTAACTATTTTCTGATTATTATTATTTTTAATTAATATTATTAATATTTTTTATTGGAGATGGATTGTTTCCTGGCTGGAGGCACAATATCAATAAATAATTTTTGTTTGTTATGCAAAGGGGCCCATGCTGCAGGCATCCCAGATAATTGCTCATCATCCAAGATTGCAGGAGGCAAGATGGTCAGAAGGATTCTTTATCATTAAATAAGACAGAAAGCTTGTGCTGTAAAACCGAACTGACATTTTAACAACTGACTTTATAATCCAAAGGGATGTGCTGTCCATGAGGATTTTATTTGCATAATATATCTCTTGTAGAAATTTATACTCACAAGGCTTTAGGTCATCTGGGATACCATTATTCCAAAAAGCCACAGTTACAGAAAGAAACTTGGCAAGATTGATTCAAATTGAATTGTTTAAATGTCACTATTCCGGAGATCACAACCAACATTGTGATCCAAAGGAAGAGATATATACATGCCATTGGCATGCACTTTATATCTATGGCAGCAGCAAATAATGAATGACATGCCGATAGTCATGAAGTTAACCATGTAGGCTTGCAAGTGATCAAGACAGTGTCCCAGCTCCAGAAAAACAAGGGAGTGTCCTCCATCAGGGATATTGACATTAAGATCTAAAACAGGGGTTCTCAACCTTGGCAACTTTAAGACTTGTGGACTTCAAACAAAGCTGGCTGAGGAATTCTGGGAGTTGAAGTCCACAAATCTTAAAGTTGCCAAGGTTGAGAACCCCTGATCTAAAACAAGAAATGGACACAGCAAAGCATCCAGGTGAGAAGGGAAATACTCAGGGAGATTAAGGCAATAACTTTTAATATTACATAGCATGTATCTTCCTAGTAAATACTGTACATTGTGAAACCCGAAACCTATAGATAAAGCTGAGTAACCTCTCCCATTCCAGATGTTGCTGGTTTCAATGACCAGACTGCTTTGTGGTCATGGAGATGGAATTTGAGCATATCTTTACATATGCTCGCCTCCTGTACTAGCAGTATCTATCTATCTATCTATCTATCTATCTATCTATCTATCTATCTATCTGTCTATCATCTATCTCTCATCTCTCATCTATCTGGGTTCTTGGGGGGGGGGTCAAGAAAATATGATGATATTGCAAAAGAGGAGGGAGGCAACTTTTGCCAAATTTTCTTCCCCCTACAATCCTAACCAAACTGTTCCCTTCTTCAATCTTCCAGCTCTCCAGAAAAGATGTCAAAAAGAAGAACACTGGGATTTAGAGAAATGGATGAGTCACTCTAAGTTAAAGGTAGAGTACACCCATTTGCTTGAAATACTTGAACATTTCTCCCTTCCTTGTCTAGGGGAGACTTATGGAAAAATAAACAGCTCTTCAGGGACCTGATAAAATATTGAGCAGATTCATATCATCACAGGGCTGCACACTAATCATGGCCTAGATAAATGTGAGAATGCAAATGTGCTACAAATATAAAAGGAATCTAAAAACGACTGTTGTTCCTTAAGGGCTAAAACTTTAGTCCATCTAGACTAGTCCTTTTTACTGGAAATGCTGTTCCCTTACCGACACTATTCAACTGCTGGATGAAATTTCTTGAATTAGGGTTTAGAAAAGGAACCTTTAATATTTGAGTTAACTGGCCATCCCACCTTTGCTAAGCCTCCAAGTGGGGTCCTTGGTGCTCTCTGAGTTTTTCTTATAGACATTTCATTACCAAACTAAGCAAACCAAATCTGTTGATGGCTGAATTTGTCTAAATGTGTGAAAAATTTCACAAATGGACATGGCAATCTCAACCATAGTTTCACCTGTGAACGTTCTAGATCTAGTCCAAAACGCCAAAGAATTCCTGGACACCTGAGACTCAGTCAAATTGACCATCAATAGGCACAAAGAGATAAACAACATCTACATACCACTCAAAAGAAACAATTAGAAAGTCCAAAAGGAAACAAAAAGTACTGAAACACATCCTCATGAGCAATCAACACCCATATGAGCAGACCAAGATTAACAAGAAATCAAGTAAACAAATACCCCAGTGAAGAAACTCCTAATGCAGGCAAACAGTCAACAACTGCCTAATCAAGGAACCACCAAGAAACGCTCCCACCAACACTGGCAGGACTAGCCACTAAAATATAAAAATAAAAGCAAACCCCACTACCTTCTAGCAGTGATGTTGTTATATAGTTTGGTAATGAAATGTCTGCAAGCAAACATTCAAGCTCAGACAGTTCAACCCTGAGATACAAATATTTTCTTCTTTTGAATTCTATAAGTAATATGCCACTGAGGAAATACATTAAAATGTTTTATACCAAAAATGACATAATTTAATTGAAATAATAATAGTGGTCAGTGTATTATCTTGAATCCTGAAGTGAGGCCTTGAATTAGCCCTAAATATACTACTGCAATTATGATATATAGCAGTCATTTTAAGTCATGTTAAGTTCCAAACTCAGTGAATGATAAATTGCACCTAATGATATCGTCTGTTGATATTAAAACATGACTTCAGACAACACTTAATACAGTATAATATTATTCTGTAGAGCATTCTAAACCAAGATTTCTTTATAATGGTTGTTTACAAATGTCATTTATCAAAGGTCCCTTGCAGTTCTAATTAGTAGCTTCCTACTTAAAGATGGTGCTGGAGAAGACTCCTGCGAGTCCCCTGGACTGCAAGGCGTTTGAACCGGTCAGTCCTAGAAGAGATCAACCCTGACTGCTCTTTAGAAGGCCAGATCCTGAAGTTGAAACACAAGTACTTTGGCCACCTAATGAGAAAGAAGGACTCACTGGAGAAGAGCCTAATGCTGGGAAAGATTGAGGGCAATAGAAGACGGGGATGACAGAGAATGAGGTGGTTGGAGTCTGGAGGCTGGAATGGAGTCACTGAAGCAGTAGGCATGAGCTTAAATGGACTCCAGAAGATGGCAGAGGACAGGAAGGCCTGGAGGAATGTTGTCCATGGGGTCGTGATGGGTCGGACACGACTTCGCAACTAAGAACAACAACTTAAAGATTTTGCCTCTTTATTGTTTCCTGTTAAGTACAACTGAGCTTAATCATCATTATATCATCCTCAAGCAGTTTTCATTGCCATAAAGAATTTAATTATTTTTAATCTTCCCCTTCTTTTTCTATTATAACAAAATAGTACCTTTTTGCTGTAAAGAGAATATAAAGAAAAGCAGTAACTAAGCCATTCAATACTTTCATTATTGATTTTCTTTCCCAGGAAGAATAGACTCTGAGTAAAGGTAATGAAAAATCAGTAAAGGAGCTCTACTCATGAAAAAGCAGTGAATAGGACAAAAGGAAGCTTTCAACTAATTAAATAAAAATATTCCTTTACTCAGCCTTTAAAAACATCAACAAATTCTGATGCTGAAATTAATTTTTTGGTAGGGAAGATAGCCACAAATCAGGTTCGAAATGGAATCAAAGGAGAACTTTAAAAAATCTGTAATACAACAAAAGAACCAAATTATTCAACGTTCTCCATGAATGATGTTGGGGCTTCTAATACAGAAGCATACTTTTTCCTCATGCAGCTGTATCTAAAACAGGGGTGTCAACTGTGACGTGTCGTGACATATTGCGACTTTTTTCCCATTGCCAGAGCTGGGGTGGGCGCGGTTTCGGCATGATGCATCCGGCCCCTGGGCTGGCAGTTTGACACCCCTGATCTAGAATTACAGCTTTAAAACAATAAATCTATATATGTGGGTCCATATAATTATGAGCTATGGGTTGGAGAAATCTAGAACATTCTATACCCATGGTGGTTTAGATTTTTGCAGCCTAGTTCTGACAACCCTAGGTTCAAAATGCAGGTTGAAATGCCCACAGATTAAAAAATATCCAAATATCCAATGTGGCATTCCTTCAAAACATTTACAAGGCCATCCTTAAACATTTTACTTGATTTGAAGCCTGAGAATAAACAGAAGAGATCTTACAGCAGCAGATCATACCAAAACCTGAATTTATAAACCACAGAAGTAGAAAAAAATAAAATGTAGCAATGAAACACTGCTCTTCTGTCAGTGTTAACCACAAGAAAGGGAGTTACTGTTTCTGCATTTAGTTCCAGATTGTAAAAATTGAGTGTGAGTGAACAGAAGAGACCCCCCCACACTATGGAGGGGAAGAAGAAATCAACTCTTCATTAAAATGCTTTTCCTCCAACCCTTGTGTACTTTAAAATGCTCTCTATTAGAGCACACTTGTAGTTTTATACTGGAAAGAAAGAATGTTAGATTGTGCAGCATGATGGCACAAAGTAGAATTCTCAACAATTGACCTATAAAAGCAATGTGAAAAAAATTCTTGATATTCAACCCCAATAATCATTTCATTGGAATTCACAATCAAAAATGCATTGACGTGATAGTGTCTTCCTGACCTTCCTTTGCATCACTACTTTGCTGAAATGGTCTTAGCCACAAACTAACAAATGAGGTACTTTAGATATTTCGGGACACACTGCTGACTGATAGTACTAGTGACAATCATAAACAGATGGCGAGAAAGATGAAAATCCATTTATCCTGCTACACCACGCAGCAACACTGTGGTTTTACGTTAATGTTAAGTCAGTGATCTGGCTCCCACCTTTTTAATCTCATGCTAAATCCAAAATAATCTTAAACTTCAGACGGATGTGTTTTACTCTCTCTAGTGGCCTTTGCTTTATTCTATGTACCCCTGCCTGTGGCTGGGTGGTGTAAAATCTAAGAGGGCACAGAGTTGAACAAATATCTATTGAATTTCCAGTGTTGGTTCTGTACCTTGCAAGCTCATTTTCCTTTGGAACGACCAATGAAACTATCCATCTAGTACGTGCCATCTGGAACATTCTGTGATGAGAAATGAATTTGCTGCAGGCATCTGTTCACCAGGGAGGAGCTGAATGGTATCCTCTACTAGGTATCTTGCCTGCTGTTCCTATTTAACTTAGACTCAAGGCAGCTAATAGTAAGCGATAAAGCTTAGACAGTTAAGATCTGATTAAACCCAGTTAACACAATCATTGACATACGCTAAAAACCCAATTACAGAAGGAGGTCTGGGCTCTGTTCATGAAAAGGAGAGAATGAGACCTGAGCACTCCAGAGGGAGCACATTCCGTTACTCTTATTTGTAAAGCTAGCAAATATATTCCCCTTGTCCCAACACACAACCATCATAGTTGTTGACTGCTTTGCGGGGTGCCTCATCTATTTGCAGGGTCACAGCTGAATGCTGGGAACAGGTAGCTGCTTCTACATTGCTCTTAGCAATTGTGAGTTCTAGTCCCACCTTAGGCATGAAAGCTTGTCACTCACTCTCAGCCCAACCCACCTGTTGTAGGGAAAATAGGAGGAGGAAGGAGCATTAGTTATTTATAAAAATAGTAAAGGTGGGATTAAAAATGTAAACAAATAAATAAAACATATTGACCAGGAAAGCTGGTGGGGACAAAATAAAAGACTTTCTCAATTTCAGCAATCTCTAAACAGGACTGGAGAACAGGATTGTGAATGTGTACGTTGTGATGACTCCATCTGCCATTCCTTTGGAGAAGAGAAACCATGGGATTCATTATCTACTTCTGTATGAAGAGGATGCAGAATTAAGAATTGCCATTTCTGGGCTTGTCCAGCGCAATACACATTTTAATTCAAGCTTCTGATGATATTCATTTGCTTCCCACTCTTCCATTCCCGACATCTAGGTCTAGCAGTTAGAGGAAGATTCCTGATTTTTCAGGAATGGTTATCCTGGGGCAAAAAATCCTGAATTCTTCCAACAATCATTAGTTGTGATTTTAATGTAAAGACTATTTAAATATATGGGATTTAAATTTTACATGAACTATGTGTAAATTACTTTGTTCCAGACCTGCCTACTTTATATAGCAAGAAGCCCATCATGTTACATAAAAGTCCAATGCAGTTTTCTGTCCCAAAAGGTTTTGCATCCTTACTTATTATTGTATTTGAAAGCACAAAGCACATTAGTCACACTCATGAACTTTGGAGACATGTTTCATCCTGCAGCATTTCAGTTTGGCTCAAAGATGTGTCTTTTCTAACTCTGGCACACAGCTTGTTTCTAGGACTATAAATTAGAAGGAATCTGTTAATAAAAACACTACAAACAATCCCGTTTTAAAGGCAAGTAAGACGATCCTGTAAGGCCCAAGAAATTCAGTGTAATGCTTAAATTTAGAATATTTCCACTATTATTTTTTTTAATTTTAATTTGGCCAACTGATGCAGTAGTGGATGGGAGAATGTAGACTAGATTGGGAGTTGAACAAAAATATTGGGAAAGAAGCAATATATGTCTACTGTTGCCAAAGTCCATGCAGTCAAAGGAGTTAAACAGGATTTGAGGGAGTCTTTGCTTTGATATTGCTTGCTATTTCAGCAGCTCAAACACCAGTATGAAGTGACTGAAAGCTAACACCATCGTGTTCTTATTTTTTGACAGATTAAGAAATTGGGCTATGAATAGATGGCAAGAGAGTGTTTTGAAGATTGTGAGTCTTATGTTTACCAACCATGATAAAAATATACATCTGTAACACAGATTATTCCTTTTGGGGGCCAAATTAACAAATTATAAAATCCCTTTCTAAAGGGAGGCTTTGTAGACTCCAAGTTGTACCCTTATAGTTAGGCAAATATGACAATAGCCATTCTGTGGGTTGTATAAATGCTTCATTCACAAAGGAATTAGCAGGGTGCCTGATTTTTAAAAGCCAGAAGGAAATCAATGTGCGGTACCAAAGAATCCTTGAGAATGCCTGCCTATGTTCTCAATGCTCCTTTCTTCATTCAGATGTAGCCACTTAACATCTGAACTCAACCAAGGAGAAAAACACAAGTGGGGAAAAAAATATGAGTCATCTGCAGCCATTCAGCTGTTTTGTGTTCTTAGAATTAGCACGGTTGTTTGGGAAATTCTGGGAGTTGAAGTCCATAAGTCTTAAAGTTGCCAAGGTTGAACACCCCTGGATTACATGCTGGGGAAGATGGCCCGACTTCCCTCATGCACTTGTGTTAATGGCACACAATATTGAGGAAGAGAATTCAGGCTAGAGAAGGTCAGGCAGAGAGCATCTGATTTGCAATCCTGGAATCTCTTGTCTAAACACTTTTCTGATATTTTGTAGTGTTGACTGAATACATTCTCTCTCTCCTTTCAATTACAGACCTAAAACAAATACCAGAGATTTCATTGGAAGTGAAACACTGCAATTCACCAAGACAGGCTTCCCGATAGAATGGCATTTTCTATTTATGCATATTATTGAGAATAACTACTCAATATTTTTGTGAACTAGGGATGCACGTTACCTACTCTAACAATTAACGGGAGGTTAAATCTCCGTTAATTGGCTCAAAAGTCACCCCATTATTTAAGGAAAAGATTCAATATAATTGGAAAAGACTGAGTATAATCAAAGAATTCCAGAGGTACAGCATTTTCCAGTATAAGTTTTATAAAAGAAAAATGCTCAATTAAACAAAAATTGGTAAGAAACTGGGAGCCCAGGGCACAGACTTGCAATCTGAATTGCAAACTACATATTTTTGGAGTTGAAGTCCATAAGTCTTGAAGTTGCCCAAGTTGGACACCCCTAGGTTACATGCTGGAGGAGGATAGCCTGACTAAAGGTAGAAATCCTTTAATTTTTTTTATCAAATTATAAATTTTAATGCAGCTGAAAAACATTAA